ATTAAGATCACATTCTTTGTTTCTGGCTATTGAGATAACTTGAATAAAGCTGAGACTCCTCATTATAAAATATTCTGCCAAATGATTTAAAACCAGGCATGAAAAACTATCTATAAAAACAACTTCCCACATGGATATGATTAACAACCAAGATGGAAGTGTTTCTTGTTGTCAATAACAACTTCTAGTAATGATTAAGACGGACCATTAAAAATGGAAAAAAACATAAAGCATTCCTCACATTAAAAAAAAAAAAAAATCAATGTCTTATATGAAAAATAGCACTAGAATTATTTTAAGCAATTCTTAGGTTTATGTCCTTTTTGTCCAAAGTTGGAAAATGAATCTTTTTCTTATTATGGTATGTTTACTATAAAAACATTTGTCACTGTTCTTCATTGAGAGATAAAATACTGGAAATACACGGTGCACTAACTGGACAATTTAACATGCTCAGGTCAGGCACTCTGAGACTTCACAGTAGCACAACAAGAGCAGATATTGGAGATGCTCAAAATCCAGATTATGGCTTTCAGAAGACATGGTGTATTGTTCACCCAGGTTGAAAGCAGATGTATGTTTATATACTTTAATCTTGGCTCAGATGTGAGCTACCATGTTAACAATTTTGTTGCCCAGGCTGCCCTGGCTTGGGATTTAAATAAAAACAAATTACAGGTCTTAACAGTGATAGATGGACTTCTCTTACATTTGTGTAGAGTATTTTTGCCTTAAGATTAAAGGCTTACGCATTTATCTGCATAAACTAACCCCTGGAGTAGGGTACTGCTGACATTTTCCAAGAAAAATGAATATCCTAACTTATTCCAAAGAGAAGACTTGGTATTTGTATGGCCAGAGTGACCTTTGCAAGTGCCCTTTCAGATTAGGTGCACTACATGGAAAATTGTGCTCTTACAGTACTCCATAAATCATACCTACCAATTTTCTTTAAAGGGGTATGTAAATATCAGTGTACCAGGTGGGTAAACAACACTAACCTCGTACAAATGGCTTGAAAATTGAAGAAAAGCACCTTATTTTGCTGCTGAAATTGCTTTTGAAGCCCAGCATCGTGGCTTGGGTTGTAGAATGCATGAAATGATTTGTGCACTGGGAATAGAAAATGGGTTGATGATAACCACACTCGACACAGTTCCTATGTTTCTGAGTTCTTTCGATGATCAAAGATATCATTGCTGTATATTACTTTTCTTTGCCGATCCCAAATGCATGTGAATTTCAAGTGACACACACATTATCTGCATGTTTCCAAAATGGACAGACAGCTTTTTAGTTTGTATTTCTCATTTGAGCTAGTTAATGTTTCTGGTCCAGATTCAGTCTGAGTCTCCTTCCAACAGTTATGCAGCATTTCCATTTAATAAAACCAAGGCAGAGAAGTTCATGTGCAAAAGAAGAAAAAAAATGTGAAGTCACAGACTTTGAAACTGTCAGAAGAGTTATTTGAATCAGTACTGACTAGGGAAGTGGGAAGATGTGTTAATTGTTGCTAAGCTATAACAGATAATAGAACAGATCCTGAGTCAAAAAAAAAGCCCTGGTTTTGAAGACATCAGTAGGTTAACATATATACCACAGATATCAAAGCACCTGGGTGAAACTCTAAGAAGCAACTTCAGATGTGATCCACGCAGGAGGACTTCAGTTTAAATTTTAACATCTGTGGCTTCTGTTAATTCAGAAAGGCTCATTTCTATAAATGTGCTGTTGTTGTGCTGCTTATCCTGCAGCATTCCAGGGGATTCAGCATAAATATCCACAGAAAAACTTGGTAACTCATTTTGGAATGGACATCATCAAAGCAAAATTTACAGTGTTCTCATCAAGGTCTTCTCATCCCAGCCTTCTCTTTAGGTAGCTGAAGAAATCAAAGACAACCATCTGATTTATTGAAGAATTGCCCTGATGACTATGAAATGGAGCTTATATAAAATTAGAGATGTGATCTGTACACAAGAAATCTCTATGTCCTATAATTTAATTGTAGAATCATAGAATGATTTGGGTTGGAAGGGACCTTAAAAATCATCTAGTTCCAACCTACCTGCCATGGGCAGGGACACCTTCCACTAAACAATGTTATTTTCATCTTTTCCTTTTTCAAAGTGGTGAAGTGCAGTCCTTCAGAATGTAGCAGGGCAAAGTATGAAACTGCTATCAGTCATTCTAAACACTTTTCTAACAGTTTTTTAGCCCTAATTCACTCCTGTCAACAAAATTATTTGGGACCCTTCTTGGTGAATAGGAACATCAGGAATGTACAGATTTATGTTTTCAGAAATTTCTGTTCATTTTGGCTTTATTCTTACTATAGAAATTGAGAGAATTCTAGGAGTCCTGGGCTCACTCAGCTGCAGTTGCATTTACTGATGATAAAACCCTCTACGTGTGTCACCCTGGGTGCCAAAACCCAGGCCAGCTCTTGGATAGCTATAAAGGATGGACCCTTATGTTGGGATCACAACCATATTTTAAGTAGTAGAAGATGGCAGCAGAACCAGGATGTATGTTCCCTCCTCTTGCCCACTTAACGTTGTTGAAATAAGCAGATGAAAATTGTAATCAGCCATTTGGAAAGATGAAGTGTGGGTAAAGAATAAAAACCATAATCCATTTTTAGGATATGCTCAAGAAGGTGCCTTAGAGTTATATTGTATATCAACATTTCCAGTGTCTTCCTTCAAAATCCTTAAATCAGCTCAGCTCAGAGTGCCTTTGGGGCATAAGACAGAATTGCTCACAGGGAAGTATCTGAAGCATTTCTGCAAACAGATTTATTTCTCACAAGGGGAACTAAACCAAACAGAGGGATATCATCTACCTCCCAGAGAAAAATAACACTGCAGGGAGAAGAGAACTGCAAATGCTGTAAAACCAAGCTTGAAGCATTTCTGGTGATTTTTTTCTTACTGAGAAGGGAAAAGAGATCATGGAGGGGATGAAGGTAGTGTCTGAGGATATTCAGACCTCTTAAAAAATCAGTATCTATATCCCAGAGTTGCCTCCTTGCCCTCTCTCAGTCACTTTACCACTGGTCCACCCAACAAATACTCAGGAAAGACTTTGCAGAGGAGGTCCAACAGCAAATCCAACATGTTTAAGGCAAGATTTAAAAGCAGCTTGAAACACTCATAACATTTCAAGTCACGAAAGGCCACACGAACACCCCAGAGACGCAAACTACCTTGTTGGGAACGTGCCACAGGCTGTTCTCCTCTCCTTGCAGCCCCCAATTTGGTGTGCTCAGCAGCACTCTGAGCTTCTCAGAGCTTGCAGCTAGTTGGAGAGACAGTGAGACTGAATTTCTGCTCTCTACAGCCAATATCTAAAAGGCACTTGCTTCCTGCTGCAATTCTGTTGGTTCTTTGCATCTCCTCCTCTTCATACTTTGCACTAGACAGGGTTAAAATGCTCTGAAGAAGAAAATATAATGTCACTAATGCACAGCATGGGAAAACTCTGGAAAGAATTCCATTGTGTTAAGGTTAAAAGACAGAGGAGTTGCCCTAAGTCCTCCACTTCACCTAGAATATAAAGATGTAGAATGTCTTGTCTTTAAATCAGAGACAAACATATTTCAACAAGGGACAGCACAGCCCTATTTTGCTATGATAAAAGTACGTGATACATTTAAAGAAATTATTTAATCCTCAGAACCTTTTGTTAATGGAAGCCTCAGTTCTTGTCTGTGTTCCACTGATACTGATTTAAGACAAGACCAGGAATAATTAAATTCAATACAAAGACTCACACTGGCATATGGAAACTTTCACCATTTTATCTCACTCCAAAAAGATTCATTGCAACAGAGAAGTGAATTACCCTTGACTTTAAAAGTCATGAGGAAAACACCTGTGAGAAACTCCACACTGCAGGAATAGGAATAGTTTGAGGGTTTTTCAGAAGTACCTAAATCAGGTAGCATATTAGGGGCATATTAAAAACCACTGATGTTTGTATGTCTGAGCAACTGAGAGGTTTTTAAAAATTCTCTTCTTTTACAAACACTTTATGGGAGTAATTTTTGAAGGATCTTGTGGATTTTACAGAGTCGTGTTCAGTTATTGGTAGATTTAGATTTACCCACAAGTTGTTGAGAGTTCAGTGTGATTACTATATGAGGTATAAAAAGTAAGCAAGCACACATATGTTTATAGGCTCAACACTGAAAACAATCCAGGACTCAGAGACAGGCAAAATATGAGAATTTTCAAGGTGACTTTTTCATGCTAGAAGCATTTTTTGAAGGCAGCATGATGTTGCACACAGGATAATATTGGCAAGGGCATGGAAAGCGTGTTATTTTCTCCAGTGGGGATTGGAAATAAATATAATGTTATTATTAGTTATCCCTTTAAAACATCTTTGAGCTTAGGAGGAGCTGCATCGTGCCAAGTTTTACAAACATGCTCTATCTCCAATCTCCTCAGCTCACAACATTTAAGATCTCATCCTATTATCCTATTAGGTTGTCACTGTTGGGAGGGAGAAAAGAGCTGCAAATGCTGTAAAACCAAGCTTGAAGCATTCAAGGCCTAAGCCAGAGATGTCACTGATTCCACCATACCACAACAATACAACTGAAGCCCCTGTCGTGTTTTCACAAAATCACCAATTATAAAAAAATGTCCCCTGGCAAAAATATCATCTTAAATTGTCTATTCTGCAAAAACCTTGTTAAGATATAACTCATTTTCTGTTTACTGAAACCTCAAAACATCATATGACCTTGCATCTACTTGCACAACAGCTAGAAAAAATAAAAAGAACTGTATTTGACAGGCACTGCTAATAATGAAAATGTTTTTAAATGTAAGCTCTAGCTGTGTACCAATCACTGCCTAATCAGGGTTATGCTTTTCAAATTATATTGTGTCTTCTTTCACCTCCTGCCTATTATGTGAAATAAAAAGAGGAGCGCTTAGGCAAATCCTTGATCTGTTCACATATATTTTTAATATTAATATGTCAGAGCAGTGGCAATAATGATATTAGGCAAATGACGGAATTCTCCCCCCAGCTGGACATGTTAATTGAGAAGCCAAATTTTCGAGGCAAAGTTCACGTCTGTGCAGATGGCAGGACAATGCCGGATGGCAGGCCTAGGTCAGTGTCAATCCCAGGCCGGACTTTAATGGCTCACTTCTCGGCTTTCCCAACGTCAGCTGGTCCCCGTGGGGTGTTGTGACTTGGGGAAGTCTGTCTCTGCGTTTTTTTTCTGCCCTTGACTCTGGTGCACTAATTTCACACGGAGAAGATGGCCCTATGCGTGATAATAAAAAAAAGAAAAAAAAAAAAAAAAGAGGAATTTACACTTAGAGACTTTCCCAGTATTTCCTTCAGAGCTGATGTAGCTGCACTAAAACCAATACCATACCCTCGCTCTGGCAGAGCTTCCTCCAAAGTTCTCTGACATGAAGGGGAACATATTCCCAGTAAAATCCAGGCACCTCATACCTCCTTAGTTTAACAATATTTTGGGGTGTGCTGTTATTGTCTTTATTTGCATTAATATTCAGGCTGCTTAATATTTTAGACAAGTTGGACAGATTTTAAGGTGTTTTATTCTGCTGCAAGCATATAAAGGTATCTTTCCCTTTGTCAAAAGACCCTGAATACTGTTCATATTTATATATTATCTCCTTTAATGTGATCTGTGAATCAAAAGCTGAATGTATATACTCATATGTTTAGACAGAAATATACAGCATCACAAAAAGACTTTAATAGTTTCAGTTTCCTAATATAATTATTTATTATCTCTAATTAAAATGCAGAGCTTGGCTTTCTGTGTGAGAGTAGATGAAAAGCCTTTTTAATGAAAAGAGCAACTATGAGCTCTAAATTTCTTTATGGAAGAGATAACTTATGTAATCACTGGTAACCTTTTTCAAGAATATTATCTCACTGTTTATAAAACAATACCTTCTTTACTTTAGAAATTCCCATTTACATATGAAAAAGAGCTTTATTTATTGATGCCTTTGACTGATGTGCATTCCTCTTTCAGGAATACCCTCTTTTTTCCATCTTACATATGCCAGAGAACCTACTTTCCTTTTGGCATTACCTGCAGTGATATTTGAAAACAATTCTCTGCTTGAATTATCAATGAGCACAAAATCAGTTTGTTTTTCAAATAAAATCATGTAATATATCCTCGTTTTATAATGTTATATTTCAAATGTTTTCCTATAGGCAAAAGAATGCAACCTTTAACCACTTGCAGCAGGTATGAACACAGGCAAAACCATTGTTTTCCTTTTGTATTGTAAGAAAATCCTTTTTAAACACATCCCACAACACACGAACAGACACACGTTCCCGCTTTTATAAATTTAATTATTTTATGCATCAGAATGATATAATCAACAAAGAACTGAAAGTTTACTGCCAGTAAAACTTGCCTACATCTACCTTAAAAATTAGTAATAAACTAATATATTAACATTACTTCTTGAATTTTCATAAATTCTTCTCTTTATTTCTAAATAAAGAAGGGTTGTTTGACATTGATGGGATATATATTAAAATTATTCTATGATTCTATGATAAAATATCTGAAAAGTCTATGCTTCACTATTTTTCTGATATTTGTGTAACTTCCAACATACCTATGGTCCAAATCTGACCCATCTGAAGCACTAACATCATATTCCTATCAATGTAGAGCAAACAGGAGAAGTGAACTAGTTATATAGCAATCAAATACAAATATACAGTATATCACAGCACATATTGACAGGTGGCCAAATACCTTATGGATAATCCACAACCATGTAAGTCTTGATTCCAATCTCACTGTAGTCAAAGGAAAGACTTGCACTGATTCCACTGGGTTTTCAGTCAAGCTCTTGACTATATGTATTTTTTTCATTAAATGGAAAAAATCATCATCTGTGGCGTTGCCTGGTTATAACAGAGCAGAAAATGAGTTCAGTGATGCTGCATTTCTGTAAATCTGGGCAAAATTTGACCTTATACACTGACACATCAGAAAAGAAGTAGGTAATGCATTTAACTAAACATCTCTGTTGTGCTGTAATCATCTGGTCTTGTGTCTCACTAATTAATGACCGTGTAAAGCAAAAGAATTCAAATAAACATCATTTTAAAATCCATTTACTCTTTACAGTGCTTGCCTTGTAACTTTTACTGAATATTGATTATCTTTTAACTTACCTCCTTTCTCAAACCAATACCTCATCATAAGTAATTCCATTTCTTTTCTCCAGAAAAGAAGCCACCAGTTTTTCTTAAGGACACAGTACCAGACAGCGTAGATTTTATACAACAGACTCCTAGATATCTAACTTTTTTCTAGGCCTACTGAGTGTGAATACCTATATATAAGCAGATTACCTATGTTTTCAAATATATATGTGCATGTTTTCCATGACATCTATCCAGTTTTACCAGGTTTAATCTGACAACTAATCTAGTCAGGGAATGAAAAATAATAATCTATGCAGATCAGTTTAAACTTGGAGAGTCAATCTGAATAGCCCTGTACATAGGAAAAGGTGTGCAATGATCAAGCAATACTGTTTTACAGGGAGGAGATGAGTATATACTAATTTACCTTTAATTTCATTTACAATATTGTTAGCTAGATTTTTTTTCTATTTATTATTGTATAATAATTCAGATTCCACGACTTTTTTGTGACTAAAGTCTTTAAACAAAATTCACAGTCAATTTAGTTAGGGAGAATCCATACACTAGAGCTACTCAGGTTTGAGTTAATCTCAGATGATGCAGATTTATAAAATCACACCACAAAAGCCAAAAAAGGAACAGGCAATCCAAGGAAATCTGGGGAAACTCAGACCATTCTTTCAATTTTTAAATCAGATAACATTACACAGGCTTAACATTTGACATCATCAGATATTTTTCAGCCTTTTTTTTTCTGTTCCAGTTATTTTTGGCAACTGTGTTGAACACTAATGCAGTTTCTGCGTTATTACCAATGGGAAATCCCTGGCATCAAAGGATTAATCTTAGTCTTTGTCCTGCTTTAGTAATAGGAAATAAATTTTACCTAGTCATTGTCCTAGTCAAGTCAAATAAAGAAACTATATCTGCTGACAAGCCGTTATTATCACAGTCAAATAGATTAGCATTGATTTACTGTAGGTAAGAGCTGTTGAAGGGTCCGTTCTGTATGTGCTCTGTAGCAGCATGATTATTTACTGTAAACCTACCCTCTGATTTTCTCCTTAGGCTAGTATTGTTATTATTAAAGCTAATTCACATGAAATTATGGTAGCTCTCCTGGTCTACAGTCTTTGGTCAGAGACCTAAGCAGGTGTTTGCTTAATAATTTGGTCAAAGATCAGTGAGTTAAAGGTTAGGCCATAGAGGGGAAGAATGGAGAGGTCAGAGCACTTGCAGGAGGGGTCTGAGACTTGATCTTCCTGAGTCTGGAATGGTCGAACCTCAAGGTCACCCATTAGTGATCCTGTTTTAACGGACTGAGAGATGTCGACCATAAATTCACCGTGCCAGCACCTTTAACCCTATTAATACTTTGACTACTGGAAATAAAAGCAAGGACCCAGAAGGAACCAGCCCACAGAGAATTATTCACAAAATGTCTGTGAGATTAAATTTATCTAATAAAGCTTGCAACTCTTAAAACAGTTCTCCAAGGAAAAAACTTTCCTTCACTTTACCCTTTTATAGAGGTTCATTACATTCTATATCAAGATGGTAGGTAAATGAAGACCCTTCACATACAACATGCACATACATGATTCTAAATGAACATAACATGTATTTTACAATATAACATTTTCTCTGGTAATTGAAATAAAATTAATGAAAGTAGAAACAAAGCTGAACCATCTCCTGTTGCCAAGAACTGGTCCATGTCTGCGTAATCAAAATGTCATAATGATCATCCAGAAGTAAGAGGCCGACACATACTGAGCAGTCACCTCCCTACCAGAAGCAGAGAGGTTTTCTCTTTCTTTTAGTCAATAACTGTGTTTTGACAGTCAGGCATTTTTGCATGTAGAAGTATGGGATCACCAAACCGTAACTGCCAAATGGGGAAAATGATACTGTCTATTTAGGAGCTTCACCTTGAAAAGTACTTCTTTCCTTCCACTCTCCAATTCCACTTCAAGCTGGAGGAGCCTGTACTTACTGCAGTAATGCTGAGTTACAGGGATTTAAACTTTTTTATCATCTTAGCACAAAGCAATTCAGCTTAGTTCAGAGTTTCAAACAATTTCATATCAAAAATATCTGAAACTGCTTAGTATCACCATACACCACAAATCATTTTGGGGCATCTGGCATAGTGAGATCCTTGGAGAGTCCCCTTTTGCTGTGTCTGGGATCTTTTGGACTGCACGCGACCAGAATGAATTTATATTAGGAATCAAAATTATCCTATAGATGTTTATAGCACACTTCAGAACAAAGAAAGGTGCTGGATTATCTAGAAAAGTTTACACTCTAGATCAGAGCCAGAACAGTATGAAGTGACTGTTCATATACAGGAGATATAAAGGAATAGCTGGTGGAGGGATTTCTCAGTCATTTGAGAAATCAGGGTATTTGGCCTGTAAAAGAAGTGACATCACAGACCAGGTCAGGAAAATATTCACTCACTGCTATTAAGATTAGGATGTCCATGGGGCAATGAGACACTGAACTCCTTCCCAGAGAGTTCCCAGGGTCTTCTGGCAAGCAGCTCCTTCCATTGCAAGATGAGGACATAAGAACTTGCAGGCATCCAAGTATCATGAAAGGGAGCAGAAGGGTAGGAAGGGTGAGACATAAAGGAACCATCCACTTGAGATAAATGAAGACATCACAGCAGAGTAAAAAGAGATAACAACAGACAGTTAGGTGCAGAGTGCTAATTGGGAGTCTGAACTGAATCAGTGGCCCCAGCCCAGCAGTAATGAAATATTCATAGATGGCCACACAACACACTGGCAGTAAAGGACAGGTTGCTTTGCCTTGTAGCAAAGAGAATTTTAGTATATCACTGTCCTCTTGTGTTCCCTACCCTCACAGCTCCGGGGCTGTAGGAAGGAAAGGCATCCAGCTGCTGCTGAAGCATGTTTTCTCCATGAAAATGTCATACTGGGCACCTTGGCTACCCAGGGATTTAAAAATTAATTACATCACCCATAGAAAGCCAACCACATAGGAAATTGAGGCATTCTGAAACATCACAGATATCTTTATTCAGCTACTAGTCATCTTTTCCTTGACTTTCAGCAAATTTTAGTTTGCATGTCTTCTCATCTTATGAAACCTCTCCAAATATGTGAACAGAAAGAGTTTTTCACATGTGGGCAGGAGGGAGCATGGTGTTTCAATAAAAAAGTAACTCTGCTCTTGATAAAAATTCATGGGTATTTCAAACCGAGAAACTAACCCTGACAGAGGCTGTCATCTCTTATACGGCATAAAGTGCCCACAATTCCCACAAAGATCAACAGGTTCTGGGCTCCATCCAGAGTCCCTCAGATCTGAGCCCTTCATCCAGAATACTTGGCTTCAATTCATAACACTTGAACTCACATTGTTCAGATGAGCTTAAATCTTTGCACAAACTGTTTGCTCAATTGCACTGCATACCGTGCCTGCTGCTGGGTGCACCTGTTTGTTTTGATAGCAAGCACAATAGGATATTTTGTGGGTTGAAATCATCCATTGTAACAAAACAGTCTTTTTTTAATTAAAAACAATTCTGGAAATGAAGACACAATAAGAATATGTAGGGAGAAAAAATCCTTTTATAACGATTGAAAAGTAAAATGTGTCAAAATATTTTTTGAACCTCTCGAGTATTTTGGTGACCCAAAGTCAGTTTTCAGAGAGGAGTTCTGTTTTAATGGGCATAAGCTTCTGTCTTTTAAATGATCTCTGAAGGATATCCTAAGTGAAAATCATTACTCTGTTTGAAAAATAAATATAAAATAATTATTAAAAGGAGCTGTATACTTACTGTGTTCCATGTTCTGCTTGCTAATTAGGAAGGAAATGCTCTTTTAAAAATATCTGATCAGGAAATAAGATTTCCAATCTACTTAATCAGTATGGGTTGGAATCCATTCACAGAAAGCCATATCTCAAAATACTCCTGCATGTTCAGCTTTCATTAATTAAAAGAAGAATAATAAACATAAAGTCTAAGCTGTGAGACAGACCGATCATGTTCATCTTTAACATGAAGCCTCATACTTTCAGGGTTATGTTTACAACTGATCACAAGAAAATAGTACCTTCAGCCTCCAATCTTTCACAGAACTCTACAACAGATCAGGTCAAAATACTAAGTACTGTAAACTATTGATAACCACAAATAATTATTTTCTATGAATAGTTTAATACAGTTTGTATTACTGTTACACTGCACATTTAAATGTGAATTGACATGAAAAACAGAGAAAATTATTCATGTAGCATGTTGTTGCAGTAGATCATCTCATCCTATTCAGTGACAGCAGAACAGTCACTTGGACACTGTTGCATATAGCAAGCTCTTAATATGGAAAACAGGCATGGTACAAGAAATTTTTATCAGTTCCCCTCTAGATTTTAACCTACACAAGCACAGTGAGCTCAGAAATCTCTGAAACAACAGAGACAGTATTTTCTAATTTTCTTCACGGTCACCACAGAAATTAATCCAAGCTTGGAAAAGGACACTTGAAGATCTCGAACCACTCAGGAGAGAAATCTCCGTGTCAGTCACAAGTCAATCGTTAGGTGGATTCCTGGCTCTGTAGGACAGAACTGTTGGCTTCACATAACCTCTCACTGCACCAGGGAAGGTGGATTAGCCATAAACCAGGATAGATGTTGTTCTATGGATTTGTTGCTTTCTTTGGAGTGGAGGAGATTTGTGTTTTCTTCCAGAAATCACTTCCCTGCCCAGC